CCAACACAACATCCAAAGTCACTCCTCTCTGTCTGGTGCCCAGCGCCTAGCCTACTCTACTCGGCTATCCTACCTACAGTTGTGTTCACGCAACAGGCTCACTTTGACTCTCGAAGACCAATGTACATGACGTCAACACCATAGCCGACCTCTCTTCATGCACCAGGTACGCATCTCTTCACCCTCATCAGACCTTGGTAACCCACACTCGCCTCCTTCTCAGAAGACCACCAGATCGCCCACATTACCCCCTAGCGCCCAGCAGCCTCGCTATGGCTGCCAGCACCCCGCTGCCCTGCAGCGCTCCACTTCACCTCTACACGCCCCGTCAGCGCCCCTGGCTGCAGTGCAGCATCAATGCAGCAGCACAACAACGTGTCTGCATTGCCAACAGGGGCCTGAATACCTGACCTGGGTTGCCTTACTTCCTATACGGAAGTGGCAGCCTCCTGGATGCTGCGTGTGGCTTGGATGGAAGCTTCCAGTAGCTTCCGATTGGGCCTCAGTCCCTGCGCCTTGGCCCAAGACTACAGTTGAGGGCCTGGGCCCCTTATACAGTTGGGCACGGCCTCAGTCTCCGAACTTGGGTTGTTTGCTGCATCTGTGCAGGGCTCCGGAGTAGGTGCGTCAACAGTACTGCTTTTGCATTGGTCGGTGGCCTGCTTCTCAATGTATCGGCCCTGCTTTGTGTGTATGTGCCCAGGCGAAACTATCAAGGCCTGGGCCAACTGTATGACGCAGCTTATTGAGGCTCACGCGTCTACTCAACCAACTCCCGTGCTACAAGAGGCCGAATACCCACATAAAATTTTGGCCTCTGACGAATATTCCGGACCGCCTTCACTTAGGGCGGGCACTTGGCTTGCTGGGGGGGGGTTGCCCAGAACATGTGATGACTGATAGGGTCATGTGAGGGCTCGATCCTCGCATTCCATCCCCCTTAGCGTCGAAAGTCCGCTGAGATGCTTCATGCTGGTGCCTTCCACTTTAGTTTCTTCTCATAATCGGCCACGATCTTAGGAGTTGTCTTGACAAGTTCCTCCCTTGTAGTCCATCGATCTTCCTTAGGATCAGTATGATGCGTGAAATGTACTTTGTACTCCCTTGCACGTTTAGGAGGTCTACCCCTGCCAGTTGGCTTGGGAACAGGCATGTCTTTGTGGTCCAGGATATCGTCGACGTCCGTGACAACATGGTTGGGGGCAACATAGATCGCTGTGATGGGAACTGTGCTGTCTCAGCGGAAGGTGCAAGCTTGGAGGCGTGAAAAACAGGGTAAGTGCGTAGGTGACCAGGGATACGAATGACGTACGAGGGACCATCCAAATCATTCCCCACAATGTCTAAGACTTCCCACGGACCGAAATAATGAGGCATTAGTTACCTAGAGATGCCAAACTCCTGTCCCAACTCAATAGCCTTGACCCAGACACATTCCCCTACATGAAATGAGGTCTGTCGGCGATGCTTGTTCTCATAAGCAATCATGGCTTCCTGAGATTTCTTGATGTGTTGGACAGTCCGCTGCTACAATTTCTCATACTGGACACCAAATTCAATGGTTCTAGGAGTTGCCACAGTTCGGTTTTCAGACAGAAGGAAGTCTAGAGCAGATCTAGGCTTCCATCCAAAATGCAGTTGATTAGGACTGATGTCGGTGGTGTTGTGTACATCATTGTTGTACAGACTGGCGATGGGAGGTAGTTCCTCATCCCAATCATCCTGGCCGGGTTTGATGTAATGCCTCAGCAGATGCTGCACCACACGGTTCATCTGTTCAGCCAGCCCGTTTGCTTCGGGATGATTCCCAGAAGTCATCTGAAGCTGGCTGCCCATTTGTTCAGTGGCCTTCTTCCACATCTCACTCGTAAACCTGACATCTCTATCACTAAAATGGTCTTTGGCAGTCCAAAGTCACCATCCCAGTTGTCTGTGAACAACTTAATGACGTGCTCAGTTCTCGCAGTCTCCGACATTGTAATTAGTCTACCATACTTGGTGAACCTATCCACTATGACGAAGATGGTGCGGGATAGAGTGTTTCCTTGGATTTCATGGATACACTGGTGAGCCTATCCACCAATGGGTAAAGGCTTCAATCACCCAAGCGGGGCTTGAGTTCACGGCTTGTCCCGCTGACAGACTTGGCAAGTCTGTATGTAAGTCTTTGCGTCGTCTAGTATATTAGGCCACCAAAAGCGTTGTACCTGGTTAGCAGAAGTTGTCATGTAGCCGAAATGACCTGTCGCGTCATGGCACTCCCCTAAAAATAAACTACGCAAAATCTCCCTAGATGGAACTACTAGTCTCTTGAATCCTGCCTTTTCAAGAAAGAGCAACCCATCCACCGTCACAAATTCGTCAGAGATGGCCTTGTCCTGGGCCTCAAGTTTGTGGATAATGTCCACCGTGATAGGATCTCTGTAGGCTTCCACCAAAGACCGAGTTACATTGCCAGATAAGCCAATTTCAGTAATCAGCGCACCCAGGTAGTCTGCCCTACGCGACAACGCATCAGCAACCTTATGGTACTCTCCTTTCACATAGTCTAGCTTGAAGTCATACTGATCTATGGCTTCAATCCAACGTTTGAGTGCAGCTGAGAGAACGGTTTGTGTCTTGATCCACTTGAGGGTCTGATGGTCAGTCCTCAAATAGAAGAATCGTCCCAACAAATAGTGGCTCCAGTGGAAAAGTGCTTTGTAAAGGGCGTAGAGTTCTCTTTCGTAGGTGGACTTTGATAACTTCTTTGATGTGAGGTGTGTCTTGTCTAGGCTGAGCACTTCGTGCCTTCTACGACCTTAGTGAGCAATACAACAAAATCATCTGCTAACGTAAAATTTTTGTTCTGCCGAACGAAGGTCTTGCCTTCGCATTTGTTTGTTTCTTGGACATCCGTCAACTCTGACATCTTTTTGCTCATGTACTCGACCGGTCTCAACTTTTTCCCTTCCTGCTGAGCTAGCATTGCGCCAATGCCGTATTGACTTGCGTCAACGGTTACAACGAATGACCTTTGTGGGTCGAGTACCAGGAGAACTTCATGGTGCATGAGTGCATGCTTCAAACGTTTGAAAGTTATCTCACACTCGTCGGTCCAGTCCCATGGCGTATCAAGTCGAGTTAGATCAGTCAAGGAAGATGTGATCGTGCTATAATTCTTTACGAAATTGTGGTAATAACCACACATTCGCGAGAATGATCTGACCTCAGCCACAAACTGGGGTCGTGGCCAGTCACGGATGCTAGCCACCTCTACATCTTCGGGCCTAATCCCATCCGCGGATACTTCATGACCCAAGTACAAGATTCGAGCGCGTCCAAACTCGCATTTTTCTAGATTTATCTTATACTTGTGTTGCTAAAGGAGTGAAAGTACCTTGTCTACATGCTAAGCATGCTCCTCGACAGTCTTACTAATATTAAGTACGCCATTCAGCTACACGACGACGAACTTATCTAAGCAGTCATGGAAGATCCTATTCATGGCGTGCTGGAATGTACCCGGCGCATTGCAAAGGCCAAAGGGCATCACCACAAACTCGTATAGACCATACCTGGTGTGAAATGTGGTTTTGTGCTGGTCCTCTGGTCTTATGGCAATCTAATGGTAGCCAAATTTTAAGCCTATCTTGGTGTAGTACCTACATTCCCGCACCTGATCCAATAGGTCGTCGATGCGTGGTAGAGGCTTTGCGTCCTTAACAGTGACAGCATTGAGGCCTCTATAATCAATGCGCATCCTTAGTGTTCCCCCTTTCTTTGGAACAAATAGGACGGGTGAACCAGAGGGGGAGGTGCTAGGCCAAATCCAACCCTTCTCTGTGAGCTCTTTCGGTTGTCCTCGGAGCTCGTCCAACTCGGTCGTGTTACTTGGGATGATCTCTATGGCATGGACAACCTCCCTGTCTCCGACCTCTGTAGGCTCCTCAAACATATTAGGGCACTTAGCGTCAATGGTCTCTATTCTCTGGAGGTGTTTTAACGGCCTCCCCTTTCTCAGAGACAGACTAGGTACATACCTTCCTCTTGGTTTTGTTTGTGATACTTATAAAACGCAGGTGCGCATAAGCACCCATAGGAGTCTATTAACCTACTGGCTTTGTACTTTGTCAGTCTAACGGTCCTCCCATTAGGTAACTCCTGCTTTAGCACCTTGTCCTAGTCAAAACTGGGGCTTGGCAACCTCGAGGTAGTACATTCCCAACAACATGTCGAAAGGCAAATTGACGATCACCAGGAATGATATTCTATGATTTATTTCTCGTCATGGATAAGTGCGGACCACCTCCTTCATGTAGTCCTCCACCATCATGCGCTCTTTGTTGACCTAGAAGATGCTACCAGTCTACTAAGGCACTGCACCCGGTCCTTTAGGCGCAATCTCTCAACGTAGTCGCGATTTATGAAGTTTCGTGTGGTGTCGATGTCTACGAAGGCACCGCACTTGCGGCCACCCACACCAACTTCCACAACAAAATGCTCCCCTCTAGGACCTCTACTTAGCGCCACCCAGGACTCACGAGGGTCCCTTGCCGACCACTCACCTTGAAGGTCCTCTAAGGCTTCAGACGCATCCAACGTACGGAGTATAGTTGGGTCCGAATCCTTCTGTGGGGTGACTAAGGAGTCAATAACTTCGGCCAAATCTTGAAACGGGGAGGGTACATCACCCGCTTTAACGAGAATAAAAGCAGTACAACTACTGGCCCTTAGTGTTTCCCGAGCTGGAGCTCATAGAGGCCCCAAACCGAGAAGAAGGAAACCCGCCCTTAGGAGGGATCTTCAGCAAGACCTTCGCTTTCTTGCACTTCCACCAGCTGATGGCCATATTCGCCGCAGCTTATGCAAGCCCCACGCTGCCAACGGTCCCGCCCCAAGCAGCTATTTTGTTTGGGTTGGCGGCTTGCCCTAGACTCCTTTGCTGACCACCCTTGCCACGACCACTTGCCTTAGTCTTAACTGTTGCTCGAGGTTGCTACCCTCAACACTATCCTCACCTTCCAACTCTGCACTCTCCACAAGCTCAGAAACATCATCGATCTCAGTCTGATTCCCATCGGAATCAACCATCATCCATCGACTACCCTTCTTCTTCCACTCTTGTGGAGCCTTCTTCTTTCTTCCGTCCGCAAGGGGGGGGTTGAGCACCACCCAGCGTAGCCTCTAAGTCTAGGGCCTTCTTAATAATGTCTCAAACGTGTGATACTCGAGTCGAGCCTCGCTGGCTAATAAGTTCTTGATGTCTGTGGGAAGACATCTCAAGAACATGGTCAATAAGACCTGTGGATTATACCCCACACCTGGAACGACGATCAGTCGTGGTAAGTTTGCACACCGATTTATGCTTCCTAGTATCAAGTTTTAGTAACCCATCAGTGGCTATCTGTGCCTGATGAGGGTTGTGCTACCGCGCTCCTACCAAGTCCATAAAGCTCTCTAGGGTATGGGTCTGCGCCCAATCACCCATGTTTCTGTGGAATCCCTTTGAAGCTATCAGTCCGTTCATCCAGCGAGTTGTCAAACCCTCTAAATAAGATGCAGCAGTTATCACCTACTCCTCTACAAATGTCCTCTTTGCCCTCACCCACACTGGCACCGTTCTCAACCACAATTCGAGAGCCTCATCCTTCTTATCTCCTAAGAATGTTGGAGGTGGTTTCAGGAGGGTCTTCGGGTACCAAGGTAATTGTTGTCCCGCTGGCGGGACAGGTGGCGACTGTGGTGTAGCTCTAGTGGCTGGACCAGAAGATGCAAAAGCAACAGTCTGAGATAGAGCTGTTGCAGAAGTACCGCTTTGTGCTGATCCGGACCGAGCGGCATAAGGGGCCTGTCATCACTAAGAATGGCAGCGATGGCAAAGCTTCTGGCTTGACTCCTAGCCTTTGTATGGCGTTCAGGATCTGGTCCAGGGTATCCTGGATTGCATCCATTTTGCTGTCCATGTATGCGTGCATGGACAAAATGCTCGCCTTGACAACTTTCATGTTGTTGTCCAAGGTAGAGTCATCTAAACCCTCTAGTGCAGCTTTGTCTGCCTCTCTGGTCTCCTATTTCTAATTTCTTTTTCTCTTTCAGTAGTTTTTCTAAGTTTCTCCACGAGCCTTATGCGAATCCTCTCTACTTGTTGGAGCTCCATCTTCTCTCGGATGCGTGGAGGCGGCGAGCTGAACTGCAAGCCCGCCATCTGACTAGTGCCAGCTCCTGACGTACTGGAGATGACATGCAAGATGGTCTGTTGACCAGTTGAGATCACAGTAGATGTCGCTGAAGAGGTAGCCATTGCTACCGCGCTAGCTGTTGCGGCTGCCAGCGCAGTCTCTCGATTACGGGCCCTAGCTTCGGCCCTTAGTCTTCTTTCGTCTCCTGGTAGGACCTGGAACACTAAGGGTATCCTACCGGTATCCCTTCGTGTCTGCCTCTTATCGTCGGCTGTACCTTCACCACCCTCTAATCCACTCATCGACTAGGCAGACGTTGCCTGTACTAGTGTCCTCACTGGGACCTACCAAAGCATGCGTCTGATCGGTTCAAAAAACAAATAAACTAAATTTATGTAAGGCGAGTTACCTAGGCCACTCGTCAAGCGGCATCAACAACGCCTACATAGACTGTACACATAGTCTACCTCTATCCTGATTAGTTCTGCACAAAAGTTTTTAAGAAGAACTGACTATGGTAGATTACAGTCCTACTCTAGGTTGTCTGTTAGGTGTCAGCAGTCTGTTAACCAACTAATCAAAATAAAAATAAACTACTGTGAGAAGATGTATGCTCAATGGGTATGATAGTGATGTTCAGTTGAGACCTCAATTGGAATCCCCTTCCCCTGTATCCAACGTACATGTGAGCATCATCAAGCAGTTGTGGCTAAGGTGTGCAACAACGGCCCACCCCTATGCCCAAGACGTATGCTTATGACCAGCCTCCCGTTATTTACCCTCGCGTGCAACGAGCCTTACGACTGACTGATTTGGCTGATCAAGAGGCAATTTAAGGACAACCCCCGAGAGTCCTCAAGAATTATTTAACGTCGCAATCAAGACGATCATAGCCAGTGGACAGTTCAAACCCCAACCGGAAATGTTTATAGACGGTCTGGGAGCGTCTGCTTAGGACTGGTCAGTCTGCACACCCCTTCTATCAGCGCAGCAAAGAGCCTCAATGGACAAAGCAGCATAGCCTGCGTGTACTACTCCCATGGGTTGGCATGGTGACCGTGACCCGTGCTTCGACCAGGGCCCTTCAGAGGCACCGCCCTCTCCTACCAGATGCGCCACCAGGAAGAATGCCGTCTCTCAAGATAGAGCGCACACGACTCCTCACCAAAGAGAGGACACTCAAAGTTCGACTCACTTCCTCACGGTAAGAAGAGATTGGGAGGGTACATAATGAATGGGAACAACGAACCTTGAAATAGCTGGCCCCAACCACAGATTTCTCACCAATTGGGCCGACGTGCATTTCGATGACCGGTCAGTAGCCTCGGTACCACCTACAACGCAATGCAGTGCCACCTCAACCAAAATGGCACGTCAGCATGCTCTCGTCATCATACATACACCCGTTGTCGTCACAACCTTCCAGCGGCCGGCCCCTCTACCTGGGCCACGCTCAATCAAGCCAGCGCCAAAGTACCCTTACTGCACATGAAGCATCGTCAACGCACCAAGTAACAATGTCGCCGGCGCCAGGTAAGCGGCGATCACGAAACAGATCTGATACCAAATTGCAAGGAATAAGAGTGTGAACGATATACAGAAAACCAAGTTGCGAAATCACACAGATCTCCAAGTAGTCGTGTACAAGCAGAGAGCACAATTGCACCAAGAATCCATCCAAATAGAGAAATACAATGAAGTAATGAGCCAATGTTCAAGCCCTCAGGCCACACCAAAACAATATCCAAAGTCGCTCCTCTCTGTCTGGCGCCCAGCGCCTAGCCTACTCTACTCGACTATCCTACCTACAGTTGTGTTCACGCAACAAGCTCACTTCGACAATCGAAGACCAATGTACATGACGTCAACACCATACCCGACCTCTCCTCATGCACCAGATACACATCTCTTCCTCCTCGTCAGACCTTGGTAACCCACACTCGCCTCCTTCCCAGAAGACCACCACATCGCCCACATTACCCCCTACCGTGTAGCAGCCTGGCTATGGCTGCCAGCGCACCACTGCCTTGCATCGCCCCACTTCACCTCTACGGGCCCCGTCAGTGTCCCTGACCGCAGCGCAGCGTCTGTCCGCATTGCCAACGCGGGCCAGAATACCTGGCCTGGGCTGCCTTACTTCTATATGGAAGTGGCAGCCTCCTGGATGCTGCATGTGGCCTGGCTGGAAGCTTCCAGTAGCTTCCGAATAGGCCTCAGCCCCTGCGCCCAAGCCCGAGACTACAGTTGAGGGCCTGGGCCCCCTTTACAGTTGGGCACAGCCAGAGTCTCCGGACTTGGGCTGCTTGCTGCATCTGTGCAGGGCTCCGAGGTAGGTGCGTCGACAATACTGCTTTTGCATAGGCCGGTAGCCCACTTCTCAATGTATCGGCCCTACTTTGTGTGTATGTGCCCAGGCGCAACACTCAAGGCCTGGGCCAACTGTATGACGCAGCTTACTGAGGCTCACACGTCTACTCAAGCAACTAGCGTGCAGCAAGAGCCTGAATACCCACATATGAAAGTGTCGAAAGTTTGGCCTCTAACGAATATTCAGGCCTGCCTTCACTTAGGGCGGGCACTCCGCTTGCTGGGGGCCTTTGCCTAGAACATGTGATGTCTGATAGGGTCCTGTGAGGGCTCGATCCTCGCATTCATTTTCTTTTTCTATTTTGTTGTTTTCATATTATTATTACAAGTGGACCTGCCGCGGCTACGCCGCGGCGAAGGACAATGACAAAAACATTTGCTAAAAAACCCAGCCATCAGTTGGACCCCATCTTTGCAATGTACCCCGATCGAACGCTGCCCAACTTCGCAAAATGCCCCAGCAGTTGCCAAGTTTCGTAGATGCAATTGCAAAAGGGCAAGCAAATTTGAACACCCACGTGACAGGGGCATAACACAAACATGTCAATCCAAAAGGCCATTCCACTGTGCCCATATCTTTAGGGGACATTTTGACATATATCTCAACTCATGGGGGTACTTGGAAAATTAACCACCCCAAAAAAGAAGGAGACACTCTCTCTCTTCCCCCCCCCCCCCAAAAAAAAAAAGGAGTGTGTGTGTGTGAGAGAGAGAGAGTCACAACAGACACACACACACACACACACACACACACACACAAGGTACATCCATCGATAGGATGAGCAAAATTGAATGAATCTACCGCTAGAACATCGAAATATACACTACTACAGGCGCGCGTGTGTGTGTGTGTGTGTGTGCCGGATTCATTCGGATTTTGCTCATCCTATCAATGGAAGTAGCCTCTCTCTATCTCTCTGCGTGCATGGCTGGAAAACTCTCTCTCTCTCTCTCTCTCACACACACACACACACACACGCACACACACACACACACACACACACACACACACACACCGTGGCTGGCCTCACGCTACTTCCATCTATAGGATGAGCAAAATCGAATGAATTTTCCGCTAGAACATCGAAATATACACTACTACACGTGTGTGTGTGTAAGAGAGAGATAGATAGATAGATAGATAGATAGATAGAGAAATAGAGAGAAAGAGAGAGGGTACTTTCATCGTCAGGATGAGCACAATCGAACAAATCTACCGCTAGAGCATGGAAATATACACTGTCTGATTCAGATTTTGCTCATCCTATAGATGGAAGTAGCCCATCTCTATCTCTCTGCGTGCATGGCTGGAAAACTCTCTCTCTCTCTCTCTCGTGCGCGCGTCCTCCCTTTCACACCGCTCAACAACAACAAATGATAGATCATCCTTCTCCCACTCCCCCTCCTGCTGCTCCTCCCGCCCCTGATCCTCCCCCCGCTCCCACTACTGCTCCTGCCCCCAGCAGGACAGGAGGCCATGGGGAGGGAAGTCGGTCATCCCACAACTCCTCCTCCCACTCA